AATTCGGAAACTTTTCTTAAACCAAAATATACACATTCTTTAGGCATAAAATAACAAGACAATGTGATTTCCTACCAAATGAGTAAGAGAAAACAGATTTTTCAGCCTGTCCTCTATAAAATATATTTGAATTTATAAGACCACCGAAAATCAGTTGGAAAAATGTATGCTACAAAAGTAGGCATTTCTTACACAGTGTGGTTTCTGTAGTGGGTTAAAAAGAAGTTCATTAAAAAAGCCGAAATCCTGGCAAGTCCGAAATGTGATAGAGTTATGCTGCAATATTATCCGTGTAACAACATCACTTAAGTAATCCTTCCTAATCGGAAACGCATTCCAGAGTTTTGGCCTACATTTTATGAGATGGGTCGCGCACTACATATGCCTTAGCAATGTGAGAAGCTCGTGGATCTCACCCACCTCGTTGCTAGTGAGACCATAGACAGGCACAAGTGAAGTTTTAATTTTATTTTGAAAAACTTTTCCAGAAGTAGTCAGCCCACGTATGTCGTCTTCCATTTCTCTTACTCTTCTGGCTTAAACTTTAAGGTCGTTGAATCTAAAAGACCTTTTTTATAAGAGCAAAAATCCTCCATTTCTTGTCAAATCATTTTCGTCTATAGAAGTAGACTTTATTTTCTCCCATCTAAACCGCTCAACTCAATATCTTAGAGTGAATAAGCATTTTATTAGTCGGGATGGAATTCTACTGCAACACAGAGTTTCCCCTCATTGGCAAACATACAGCCACCCCATAATTCTACTCATCTGTCATTTGCCTTTTGAAGCAGATTCCTCACCGAGCGTCAATTAAATGTTTCCCATATCTGCGTCGACCCTAGTGCCATCTAGCTCTTCACCTGGGCACATTATCGCTGAGTCAGTTAAAACCTGCCACTTTAAAACATCTTCAAGAAGCGATGATTGCTCAAAAGCTGCTCCAATTTTACCAGGAACTTGACCGTAACAGTAAAGATGATCTACTCCCAGAAGAACAATCCACCTGCAGGACTCGGAATAATAAATAAGTTAATATTCCTGGGTCGAATCTGTCACGTTTCCGTGCCAAGGCTCGCAAGACTGACCTACTGGTGAGATCGAATAGGCCAGATAGTATCCCAGGGCGATCTTTACCTATTCCTTTTCCGAATTCTCAACTTAAGGAAGACACCACAGTTGTGGCACCAACTAACATATCAGCATGTAATATGCAAGTATACAATGTTGCTGATAGATTTCCCAATCCCACAGCTAGCCTTAAACCATAAATAATTAAGCTTTTTCATGATGCTAACAGTTTCTATAATCCATCTAGTCCCTTTTCCAGCATAAATGCTCAACATTATCAAAATCCTACTTTTATACCTCCGATCTTTCCAAACCCACGAAATAGTCTTCCTCTTCATGGGTCCTGTTCTAATGTGTTTCTTTACAGTGATGTCTCTGTAGCCAGTCGTAATTTTCCCACAAAGTTCAGACCACAGCAATTTTATTCTTCGCCCTGTACTTCTTCCCTACAGCTTAAATTTCCATCACCAACTGTTCCTTTGTTTATACGTTGTAATGAGCAAAACCTACATCTTAGGAATACGCTCAGTACAGTTTCTCTCATCGCAAGATCAGTGGTGCAGCAAAAGATGGCACAACTAAGGAGTATGACCTTTGAGTCTGACTTAGATGTTTTGTGAATCACAGAATCATGGGCTCACTCACTTATTTCAATCTCAGCGCTCAATGTAGATAACTTCAGCTTAAACCGCCAGGATCGTGTTGGAAAACGTGGCGATGTTTGCCGTCCTTATATCAGAGCCGCACTTGCAGTCGTCTGATGATCTGAACATTTCTTCCTTCTTTGGAAATATTTGTTTCGCTTCGGTAATCATACCGCATAATAGGAAAGCCTTGGTCGGATGTGTATGCAATTCTCCTTGTTACTTCGGAAATGAAAGCCAACTCTGTGAGCTCTTGGAAAAAATCGTCGAGACTTCATTCGATGTCAAGATAATTCTAGGAGATTTTAATTTGCCAGACAGTGATTGGCAGACAAGAACTTCCTCCTCTGAATTCCAGAAGATTCCAGACACTATTTACTTTTTGAACATGTCTCAGCTAGTTCAGTGTTCGACCAGAAACGATAGTATACTAGATTTAATTTCTACTTATGGCATTCTCCTTCATTTATGGATTTCCATCGTGACCTTTTTAAGACTGAGCATTCATTATTTCATTGTCGTCTTCCAGTTGCCATTTTCTCCAAGCCAACAGAATAACGTAGCTCTTTTGCTTCGCTAATATTAGCAAGAAATTAGTGAATAATTTTACAAGTACCATAATTTTCTCAAGATTTCTTTAAATTAGGATCGAAATTTTTTCCCTGTTTAATAACAGTGCATAACAAAATATATTCTTCACTCCAGTCTAATGGAGACGTTGAAATCGAATGCCACTTATGTTAGTGTCCCAAATTTTCTTAAAAACAGACTTGAAAAGCTATGGGGGCAGCTTGAAGCTCCATTCATAAGCTCATTATCGATTCACCCAAGGATCGCTGAAATATTTGAATTACCCTCAAAAATGAGGCACGCGAGAAATAAGCGTAGAGAGTCTTTAGTAATGAGTGATGCGAATGTTCCTAGATCACTTGCTCAGCTCTTCCTTGACAGATCATTAGTTAAGTCCCACCAAGTCATTCGGGTTCTGCTAAATTTCAACGATACCTTCATTACAGAGGAGTCAGGAAAGGCAAAAATGTTAAATTCAATCTTTGCCATACATTTTACCATTGATACTAACGCGATCCCTTCGATTCTTTTGTGTCTGATGCCTGTCTCACAACCATTAATTTTGCCCCTGCTAATATTCAGAAACTGATAAGTCAGCTTACTAAATCTCACTGAGTAAGAACTGACAACATCCCGACTCTCTTATAAAACAGCTAGGAGATTTTTCCCCTCTGCTTAGCAAACTCTTTCCATTCTTTCCCCAAAATAATTTTTTTCCTGACTATTAGATAACGTCTATTACTATTTCAGTATTTAAATCGGGTTGTCGTTCTGATGTTCAAAACAATCGAGGTGTCCATTAAACACCTTCTTATGCCACACTCTTTGAAAGGAATGTTGCCATGAAAATTACTGACTTTAGTATAACCAATCATATTATTAGCCCTTCCCAACATAGCATCCTATGCGATCGGTCTTGTGAAACGCGTCACATGTCGTTTATCAATCTTCTTACCTCTTATCGTAATGATCATTTATGTGTTGCCGTTATTTATTTTGTTCTTAATAAAGCCTTCACTAAAGTGACACATAGAAGACTCTTAGTGAAATTAGAACCTCTGGGATATTGCAGTTCCTTTATTGACATCTGCAAATCATACCTATGTAATCGCAAGCAAAAGGTCTTAGTGAGATCTTCATTTTCAAAGTGGTGTCATACAAGATACCGTTTTAGGTCCTTTTTTGTTTCTGCCTTGCATTAATGATATCTCGTCGGCAGTTAAGCATTCTCAATCCTTTATTTATACTGATAATCTCAAACGTATATATTCTTTCAGTAGATCTATGAGCCTTCATTGCCTTGAGCAAATCCATGGTGACTGGCTTCCTCTTGCAGCATGGAGTTCAAAATGCCTAACGAAATTCTCTCCGTCTGAATGTCGCTATATCTGTTTCGAACCTGATATTCTACCCTAACCAGTGATCTTTCAAGTCACACCTATGACTGAATGTACCACCATCAAGGATTTATGTTTAAGGTACGCAAAGTAGACAAGGACAGAACCCTTAACTACGATCGATATGTGCTTCAGGAAATATGAGTTATTGCTCTAGGAAGAAGGGAAAAGTTTTGCTGACGGAGAAGTGGTGGAAATTCTTCTGTTGCAACTTGGACGAATGGATTACGAGAAGTATGTAAAATTCGTCTTACCGAAAAAAACGACCGAAATCGAATTTACGGAGACGGTGAGAATCCTGAAAATCTTGTTTGTCTATTGAAAGTCCTTGTTTGAAAGACGTTTTGAATGTGTTAAAGTGGAGAAGAGGGTATATGAAGATTATTTTGATTTGGTAGGCAGACTAAGTGACATATGCCAACAAGCTGATCTAGAACAAACAACTGCAAACCAGGTTCAGGACCCTCTTACCCTACCGGAAGACGCGGTCATACTCAGGTGGCTGCTGTCTAAAATGAATCTAAATGGTGTTATGACCGTGCAGAAGTAAGTAGATAAATGTTTTAAACTCAGGAATATTAAACAGGATAGGAAGTTGATTGGCAAAACAAACAGTCAACAGGTACAGGTGTTTTAGATCAGGAAAAATTGGCCGTCACAGAGGGAAACATTTCTTGGAGGGCTAAAGGCCGCCTATTGGTAGTGCGGGGGATGGCGCTATGCCGCCAACTGCCCCTCTAAAATGCAGAAATGTTTCAAATGTTCGGGTGTGCGCCACAAATCGGCATGCTGCATAGCGGTAGGGCCGAGTCGTAGGAAACAGTGCAACGACGTGTCTGATAGTGAGACGCGGGTGCTAGGCTGTGATTACCGAAATTACCTACCTGTGATCACAACTGTAAAAGCCGACAGACCTCAAGTGGTCACGGCGTCTGATCTGATGATTACTACGGTAGGAACGTGGCAGATGATAGGAACACCTAGTCATACCCCAACTCATATAATTAAATGTTGAGCACAAGGGCGAAAGTCGCATTCCCTTAATAAACTGACTTATCTCTTGTCGGCACCGTGGCGCATGGCATTTGCAGGGGATTGCCCCTTCCGTCGGCATCACTGTCAAAGCTGTATCCAACTGCGACCCCGAGATGGGTTCCGCAAATTAAGAGCCGTTTTTTTGGCTAAAACGCAAGTCGTAACCGCAGTCTGTTGGAAATCCTCTCAGCCTATTGCCCAATACCCAGACCAGTGGGCCAGTTATAGAAATATTGTTAATGTTCTACTCAATGACCAAGCAGTCCGACTACAGTTGGGCACTGTCTCAGGCATCATCATCATCATCATCATCATCATCATCATCATCATCATCATCATCATCATCATCATCATCATCATCATCATCATCATCATCATCATCATCATCATCATCATCATCATCATCATCATCTTCTTCTTCTTCTTCTTCTTCTTCTTCTTCTTCTTCCTCTTTGCCCATACATTTTATCTGAAAATATTTCGAAAATATTGGCCAGCTGTTTCTTTTTTTCGGCGCATGCTGCTATGTGGACACCAACAGTGTCCCTCTATACCTACATCGGGCTGCCGAGGTTTTATTGAAAAAAATGAGAGTATTACCATAGATTATTGATTAACCCAGTTCAGGTAAACAAACGTCACCGGTAAATCAGCCGCAGCATTTCTCATTCTTCTTCTTCTTCCTGCTCGACAGCCCCATCAACATCCTCTGCGTCATCGTGGTCATCAAGTCGAACGTCATCGTCGTAATCACTCGCACAGATGTCTTTGAAGGCGATGCAGATTCCGCGAATCGGTATTTTCATAATAACTTGAAAAGCCTCACAAAATTATTCGGATTTTTGTGGACAATCCAGAAATACTTTTTAGGATAACTGTCGCGCTTTATTCATGGATCAACAATTCTCATAACGGCGGTTGATCCTGATTAAACCTCTCTTGCCAATCAACTTTAAAACCCACATCCAGTCGTTTCTCGAATAGTCTCCTTGATGACGCCTATTTTGGCTAAAGATATTGGTTTCCACTAATGTCGACATCATATGCATACTGAGAGGACAGGTGTTACAAAACTGTGAAAATTCCTCATTTCAGTAGTTGATGATGAGCTACGCTGCGTGGTCGATGCGCGATAAAATGCAGTCTTTTGAGCAAGTTCAACAGTAAAGTTTGCATATTTCCGGCCCACGCCATGCACGCATGCAAGGCGACAACGGCGACGATGCATATGTCCGCAGTTTGGTTCCGGACTGTTATCGTGTACGAGAAGTTGTGTATGAAAAAAGGAAGCTAAATGATGCTGCCGACGTCATAGGGCGTATTTGGGCTTACTACTTAAATGCCTGGTTAGCCACTGCAAAGCAGCTCGCGCGACCATTACGTCTTATGACCAGGACACACAGTAAGTATCTGTGTGAATTTCAGACTTGGCACTGACATTCGAAACTTGGTGCACTTTAAGGCAACAACTTTGATGAACCCAACGTCAGTAAGCGACGGTGCGCATTCAGTTTTTACGACAAACACGCCAGTACGTCGAAAAAAACACTTATAATTGGCGAACGTGTTTTCTAGTGTTACTCTTAAATTTATGTCAAATTCTAACCAAGACCTCGTAACATACTGGAGTAAATTGGACAACCATTGAAAGGATTAGATCAACCATTGTAACGCAGACGGAATGAATTAAGACAGTTAAGCCTTTCCATGTAAGATTTGTTCTTTAAATCCGTTATCAGCATTGTTGTCCGGCCTTGTACTCTCTTAAGACATGTTTGGTCATTTGCTGGCCATGGCCAACACGCTTGTACGCTGCATTCTAGATGGGGATGAACAAACGTGCCGTAAACTCTCCCAAGACTCCTATTTCTCAAAGCTTACAAACGCCCGTCTGATCGCATAGAGTATTCCGATGACCATGCTTGCAGCCTTGGTGCACTCTAGTGCTGGTTTCATGTTGCTCTGTGTCCATACACTGAGATCGTTACGCAAAGATTCGGCGGGAAAAGTATTTTCCCGCAGGTGATATTCCCCCCAGCTGTCATTTGCATGGCAGTTTATTGGACGCAGATGAAAGACGGCACACGTCTGCACACTGAAATCCAGAAGCCATTTCTCGGACCACGTTTGCAGTCGGCGAGGATTATTTTGAAGGGCCTTCTGGTCAATCGTGTCCCTAAGGACTTTCCAGAGGTGAACGGCGTCAGCAAAGATTGCTTCACTGCATTTGAATTCTTGAAGGCAGTCATTGACATTAACGATAAAGTGTAAGCGTCCGAGAACTGAGCCTAGAGGGAACATCAGTTCACCAGGTCTGACATATCATTTCCAATACGGACACGCTGTTTTGCGACCAACCAGAAGCGCACTTCTGCAGTCAACAACGTCTCGTATGCCGGCAGCTGCCGTTTCACGCCTTACGGGGTTGTCGTTGACCACAGACTGTAGGCAACCGGCTTACACCAAGACATGAGGCCGATGGGCCGCCTTTGGTGAGGAAGATAACTGCATTCTAATCAAACGTCCACAACATTTTCTGATTTAACAGCAGCTAAATTCCTCCTAAAAAGAACATATTAACTGCTGAAATTTTTTTAAATTTTGCTAGTATTTATGGAGAAATGCATGCAAGTTTTGTTGAAATGTTTTCGGCCCTTCAATGGATGAAAGTCGGGTAAAAGTTTAATTTCAAAATCAAGTTATTCTGTTGAGCAATAGTGGAGAAAATACACTTGGATATGGTCTTAAACGGCCATGCACAATCCCAAAATGCCTAAACTGAAATACCTCATTTCAGTTATTATCCAAACAATTCATGTGATCTGCCACACGGCTAAATTCCTATCACCTCAGTTCGGCTGAGAAATTCTTAGCTGTCCGGCCAGTTGCAGATTTATCAAACAAATTCCAATGCTTTTCGTGACTCACTTGATCAAATATCCGGCATCCTCATCGGACATCCCCGTCGTTATACCAGCAGGGTGTTTGCTTTAATTAGTGACAAACATTATCTGCAAAAAATGCCCGTAAATTAGTCACTGGGGTGATCGTATTCGCAAATTGTCATATATAGCAGTTTGCGATGTCTAATTGAATTAAAGTTCGAAGGGGCGTAACTGATATGCTGCCGGTAGATTATTGGCGAAGGGCTAGGAGTCTAAGGGGGACCGCCTTCAAAAACTAAATTCCGTAATAAATAATAATAAAATTAAAGTTTCATCACTACACCACGTCCCCTCCTCTACACAAGCATCGCTGTTCTCAGTGAACTCTGTTTGGCCGACGCTGTCCGTCAATGTCCTCTAACTGAGGGGTATATCGCATTAGTTTTTGACCCTCGGGTGGAATTTCCAAAATCCACACTGTGCTAAGGCATCTCATCAAACTAACTGAGCGTAAGGATATATGCTATTTAAAAAGTAATAGAAGTACTCAGAAGAGCTGGGGAGGGAGTCCAAACTGCAGAAATCGGGATGGCATGCAGGACATTCAACATAGGCTGGAGTGAGTTCGCTAGCCGTTAAGGTGAAACATACGAAACAGGATCCCTCCTATAATAAAGAGGATGTTAAGGCTATGGTTTTGGTTAGTGCTCTCATGAACTCCGAGTTTCTGAATCGCTGGCATAGCTGCCATCGTCAGCATATTTCGCCCTCACACCACGTGACCTTGTAAGACGAACACGGCCGCGATCAATGATGGCCGCAGTTCAAATAAGTCCGGCGAGACACATCTAGTGTAGATAAATCAATCAAATTCAAACGCTATTCTTGACTTACTTGATGAGTTATCCAGTATCCTCATCGGACCTTCCCATCGTTATAACAGCAGGGACAAGGTGTCAAACCCCGTCTGCAAGGGACACCTGGAGATGAGTCACTAGGATGACCGAAGCCAAGAATTGGCAGTTTGCAATGACTAACAGGATTAAAGTGCGAATGAGCTTAACTGATATGGTGCTGGTTGATAACCGGAAAAGGGCTAGGAATGTAAGGGGACTAAAATTAAATTAAATTATTTTTATTAAAGACCCATCAAAGCAAGTAAAAATAAACATGTAATAGGGAGAGTGCTTTAGGTAGGATTAAAGATAAAGAAGACAACCACCCCCACGCCTAGTCGTGTGGTCTTGACGGTAGAAATCGAAGTCATCTATGAGAAGGACAGAGTCAGGAATTAGAGAATGGCTCCGTCTCGTTCAATCCAATTCAATTCAATTATTTTTATTAAAGACCCGTCGGGGTCCCATCAAAGCCAGTAAAAATAAATTTACATGGGAATTTTAGACGAGGTAGGTAAAATCTGTGCAAAGTGCTATACATAGTTTTTGAGATTAGAAGTCCGTTAAGAAAAATGATAAGCGAGAGGGAAAAAAAATCCGTTTGAAAATTTGAAAATGATTGGATTAATGTTACGGGAGAAAAAAAAACCCCTCGCAAAAATACAATCAGAAAAATGCGGGCAGGGCTGACCTGCATGTGGCGGTATAGAATGGATTAGAGTCGGACATCAACAGAGCCGAAATAAATGTCAGCTGTATATGGCATTGTATAACGGATTTCATAAAGGGGTAAGTAGGCAGTTTAGTCAGGACTGGTCTGTATGTGGCCTTGAATAAGGTAAATAAGTGGAGAAATTGAAAACCAGTCTCAAGCTGATAGGAACCCAGATGTGGTCGGTTACATTCAACCGAGTCCATCCGAGAATGATGAAAGGGAGATGCGACCAGACAACTAGTATATGGCGAATACAGAAGGCTTCGCCAAGAGCGTCGATGGAGCGCATTCTGTGAGGGCACGATGAAAATCAGTCTCGAGGCGATAGAAACCCAGATGCGGTCGGTTACATTCATCCGAATCCATCCGAGGATGGGGCAAGGGAGATACGACCAGACTACTGCTATATGGCGAATACAGAAGGTTTTGCCAAGAGCATCGATGGCACGCATTATTCATCCGACTCCATCCGAGGATGGGGCAAGGGAGATGCGACCAGACTACTAGTATATGGCAAATACAGAAGGCCTCGCCAAGAGCGTCGATGGAGCGCATTCTGTGAGGGCACAGAGCATGAACTGAAAAATTGGAAAAATTAACATTTCTGGTGAGGGATCTTAGGAAGCGATACGACTCACAAAGGAAGGAAATAGAAACAGATAAATGCTGGCAGGGCTGGCCTGCATGTTGCGGCATAGAATGGAATATAGTCGGACATCAACATGGCCGATATAAATGTCAGCTGTATATGGCATTGTATAACGGATTTCATAAAATGGTACGTAGGCGAGATAAGTGCTGAAATCCGAGGAAAATTCGAACTATGATTAATGAGAAAGAGGAGACAGAAGCAAGCTTCTAGTCTTCGAACCCATAAAAATTTTAGTTTAATTAGCTGGCATATATCTGAGTAGGAGATATTGTGATGTTCCTTATTTAACAGTTTTTTTGAAAAATGTCTTTGGACATTTTCAATTTTTAAACGACTAGTTTCATTCATCAAACCAAAGAATGGGCAATGATACTTGAGAATGGGAAGTACAAACATACGACAGAGCCTTAATTTAATTTCAGGAAGATAGAAATTGTAAGAAATAAAGCCACAAATCTGGGCTGCTTTGGCTTTAATTCTGTCAGCGTGTGGCGAGAGATCAAGATTACTAGTGTAGCTTAAAACTAAATCCTTGATGGTGGTACATTAGTTATAGGTGTGCCTTGAAAGACCACTGGTTGGGGTAGGCTATCAGGTCCAAAACACAAATAGCGACATTTAGACGGAGAGAATTCCATTAGCAATTTTGAGCTTCAAGCTGAGAGAGCAAGCAAGTCAGCATGTATTTGCCCCAGGCAATGAGGGCTCGCAGAGTTTTTGAAAGAATATACGCATTTGAGATCATCGGCATAAATAAATGATTGAGAATGTTTAACTGCTGCCAAAATATCATTTATGTAAAGCAAAAACAAAAGAGGACCTAAAACGGTACCTTGTAGGACACCACTTAGAATAGGGCTTTCAAAATCGAGAAAAAAACTTTAGCTACATCACTTCACCGCGTCCACTCCTCCATAAAGGTACTGCTAAACTTAGCAAATTTCGTGTTCTTTATTTGACCTGGGCCGTCCGGCATTGTTCTGCAACTGAGGAGTGCATCGGATGCCTTTTTCACCCTCGGGTGGAATTTCCACAATCCACACTGCTACGATATTTCAGTACACCAACTTAGCGAAAAGATATATGTGATTTGCAAAGTAGTACAATTACGCAGAAGACCTGCGCAGTGCATTTAGTGTGCTAGAGTGAGTTCCCTACGCGCTAAGGTGATTAACACGGGAATTAGAACTTTTCAATAACAGTAGAGCCTAGCGCTCTGGTAAGGGTTAGGGACCTCATGAACTCCGAGTTTCAACATCGCTGGCACAGCTGCCATCGTCAGCACATTCTACGTTCGCGCCACGTGACCTCGCAAGGCGAACACGACAGCGATCAATGATGGCGGCAGTCGGGGGAGATGCATCCGGCACAAGATGGAATTTTTGTGCATTACATGAATGTTTTTTCCAAAATAGAGGCGACTGACGGACCCGATTCATAAAACCACGGTACACAGTAAGCACCTGTGTGATTCGTATATATCGCTATTACGGTGTTTATTTCATTCATACAAATGTA